GAAGTCACGTTGTGGGTCTTTGAAGTCACGTTGTGTCTCTTTGAAGTCACGTTGTGTCTCTTTGAAGTCACGTTGTGTGTCTTTGAAGTCACGTTGTGTGTCTTTGAAGTCACGTTGTGTCTCTTTGAAGTCACGTTGTGGGTCTTTGAAGTCACGTTGTGTCTCTTTGCATCACGTTGTGTTTCAGAGTTTGGTGCTGCGTGTCTCCAGCCTGCCTCTGGTCCGCTCTGCGCTGCAGTCCGTGACCTCTGTGTACTCGGAGGTCAAAGGTCGTTACCCCCTGCTGAACCTGGTGGGGGGGGTCGCCGAGGTCGGGGTCCGCAGCGTCTCCAACATCGCCATGACGACGGCAACGCCCCTCCTTCAGAGCCTGGAGCTGCAGAGTACGCTAAATAAATGCTAATGCTAATGCTAAGGCTACTGCTAATGCTAATGCTCCAGACGGGGTTGGGAGGGTTACTTTTAAAATATAATCTGTTACATCAACTGATTACATTTCAAAACATGTAATCCAGGTTTTGTATCTCGTTACATGTAATCCGTTACTCACCAAGACCACTGCTAATGCTTACACTGCTAAAGCTGCTGATAATGCTAATGCCAATAGAGTGCCGGATAATCTCCACATGTCTACTTTTATCATTTTCTAATCATAAATCTAATCAATAGATTTATGAGCGATAGATTTATGATTCGAAAATTATAAAAGTAGACATGTGGAGATTATCCGGCTGAACAAAACGTGATCCGTCTCTTAAATGTGTTTCAACCACAGACCTTATTTCCAGCTATTTCCAAATCCTATGGAGAAATCTCATTGGTTTTTGTCGAAGGAACCGGAAGGAGTTTACTTCCGGGTTTTAGGACGCGTCACTGTGGCACTCTATACAACTGAATCTAATACCAATGCTAATAATAAAATGTGTTTTCTTAGATACTTAAAACAAGTTATTTAAAGTGCGTTAATGATAAGCTCTCTGTCGCTGCTAAACCTGATTCTGCTGGCTTTCTGACCCTCTCGTTCTCTGCAGTCGAAGTTGCTGAGAGTTTTGCTCTCTTTGGTCTCGACTCTCTGGAAAAGAACTTCCCGATCCTGAACCAATCAACAGACGAGGTTTGTTCTGCATCACTTTCAGACACGTCCATATCTGCATTACTGCAGAGCAGAGATGGACGGAACATTTTCTCACCAAGAATTTAGAAGTTAATTAAACCTTTCCCTGACTAAAAAAGACTCTTCCAGTTTCAGTTTTATTATATAAGTGCTGTCTACTAGGTGTAACTAGCCGGGTGTTGTTGACCTGTAGTTATTGGCCAGGTGTTATTAACCAGGTGTTGTTAAGCAGGTGCTTTAGACCAGGTTCTGTGTAATAACCAGTCCACCAGGTGTTGTTAAGCAGGTGCTCTGTCCTCAGGTGGTGGGTCACCTGAAGGACGCCTTCTTCCTGACGCTGGACGACGTGCAGATGTGGGTGGGGGACGGTCTGGACGTGGCTCTGGATCAGATGGAGCGTCTGTCTGAAGGCGCTGTGGCGGTGGTGAGGCAGCTTCAGGACTCTCAGGTGGGCCAGGTGGCTTCCTTTGGGCTGGACGACCTGCTGACCCGCCTGGAGGAGGCCGTCGCCCACTACCTGCCCCTCCCTCCCACCCTGCGTGAGTACAGGGGCATTCTGGGTAACTGGGGTCGAATTGGAGTTTCATTTTCTATTTCAGAATCAGAATTCCTTTATTTGTCCGGCAACGGAGAAATGTTGGGTATAAGATCAGATCAGGTAAGATAAGAAGTACTTTATTGATCCCAATTTGGGAAATATTTGTGTTGCAGTAGCATAAAAAGACAAGGCATTGAACATTAAAAGTTAAAAGACTAGAAATAAACAATCTAAAATGTAAACATCTCAATAGAAATAGAATAGAATTATAAAAAAACAACTAGAAGATCTACATGTTGAATTACAAATGTACAGTAACAAAATATAAAGCAGGATATTGTAATGTGAGGAATAGAATATTAAATATTAGATTGAATTGTTTTATACCAACAAGAGTGCAGATTAA